TCGATTATTTCCCTCATTTCATTTTGAACCCCCCCTCCCTAAGTCTGAAAAAATGATCCCCCAGAAAAGGAAGGATTTTATAAAACACTCTCTTTTGTTTTTCTGATATTTAGAATGTGAACCATAGCGTCACATATCTGAAATACGGAAACTATACACGACAGTGGTTGCAACCAAGATTATCTTGGTCCTGACTATAAGGCATCGCCATTGCCATTCCCACACTCAATTTGTATTTACCTACTCACAAACCATCCAGGTCACATATGCTGTATCCTTATTGTTACGTGATCTTATTAGAAGCATGGGATGAGGATCCATTCTAACCTGGGCCCCGCTTCACAAAGTGATCTTAATGATCATACTTTAGCATACTGCATAGGCTCCTAAGATTGCTTTGTGGAAACAAGGAACCTTGGTATAACTATATACCCCTGAAGTGCCACAACGGTTCAAACACCCATATATTAACATAGGCTTAGAAGGGCTGAAAGAAAAATAACCAGACAGAGATCAATATTCATGATACTAAAAGCAATGCATCCCATTGTATGGGGTAGGTACTTGTCTGTGCAATGAGTAGCAATATGCAGACAAACCTCAACCCATTGCAAGTCTTATTGAACATGGATGTGTCGCAGGAATAGAGACCAGGGCCCCGTTTCACAAAGCGATCTTAGTACTACGTTGATCGTAAGCCTATGCTGAAGTATGGGAGTTACGACCAACTTAGCACTTCGTGGAACGTGTTCCCGTTCACTCACAGCTAGTGGTACAAATTCGATCACCTCTATCACACGTTTAATTGTCAGCTACTTAGCTAAACAAATGTTAACCTGATTCCGCAAAGTGTGTATAATCTTGATGAACGTGATACAGAATCACATGACAGAAGTAATTCCAATGGCAATACCTGGCTCGCTTCCATGCCTCATACAAAGAACAGCCAGCCAAACAACAAGCTTTTAGTGCAAAATAAACAACATTAATCTTGAAATATAAACATCTAGGTTAAATTTAACCCTAATGTGATTAGACAAACTGTAAAGGAGGCTATTCCACTTAAATAACTTAAATTGGAGACACTATGCTTGTTTACCGACAATGGCCAGAGGACAGAGATAATTGAACACAGGTGAGATATATGACTGCCTAGGCTGAGTGATTTCATAAAGCAAAGGTTGTTTGTTCCCCTCTTTGCCCCTGTAGGTGAACTTGGCAGGATTTTTCTATACCCTCCTGCATTCCGACACACTCGCAGGCACTGTTTATCCAACTCTTATGCTGTGCAGGGTTTTATCAAAGCAATTTCTCAAGTGTGATAAATATTGGCGTTGATCTTGCCTGGGGCTGACAATGTTAGGACCGAGGTCTGTGACAGGCAGCCTGGCAGTGTGTGAGTAATGTTGCTCTGGCTCGTCGCAGCGGCCACGGCGGCAAGGACATAGAACACTCTGCTACCACATGATTCCACTAACTCTCGTAGTTTGCCCTTCGAACTCTTCCAGGGTTAGACACAACTGGTCATGACCAACTAGTCAACAGCTCATTTCAGACTAGTGATTTATGTGGGTTTTTACTATCATGGAACTGTTCTGGGTGAACAATACCTTCCAAATGATGTGCTGGTTTTCTTGGGGAATTAGTCAGCAAAGAGCCAGAGTCACAGGAGACTAATCACAATTTTATTTACAAGAACACTTAACAATTTTCAATATCTTAGAAAATAACTGAGGGTGCCACAGAGAGTCGGTACACACTCTGGGCTGTGGGAGAGAGGTCTGCTTGGAAAGAGAGTCAAACCCCTTCTTATTTTCTAAGATATTGTAAATTGTTAAGTGTTCTTGTAAATAAAATTGTGATTAGTCTCCTGTGACTCTGGCTCTTTGCTGACTAATTCCCCAAGAAAACCAGCACGTCATTTGGAAGGTATTGTTCACCCAGAACAGTTCCATGATAATTTGGTGGAGAATCCGGGTAATCTATAAGACTATGTAGACATATCCTGTCTGGGAGATGGGATCTTGACACCTTAGGCTAGCATTTATCTAAAAGCTTCCAATCAATTAACTATGTAGACGTAACTCTTGTTTTATTGAATAGTATGTCTAGAAGATGTGCTCCCATTACCTTAGGCTAGCATCTATCTAAAAAGCTATAACTGAAACTACTGATATTTTATATAAAAAGTATATAAAAAGTGGGGGTCCAAGGGACCCCACTAATTTTAAGGGTCCTTCAGGCAATATGAGGATCTTGTAAAGTTAGGAAACGGTGAGGTGTACTGCATGTTCTGATAATTACTTTAGAGCTTGGAAGGAAATTACTAGATTTTACTTTAACATAGACTAAAATAGTCTTAGAGCTAAGATTGCTTTGTGCAAGAAGATTGTCAATATTAAAATCAGACAACTGCTCACTAATACCCCCGACCCGCCTAGTGTGTCAGTAGTTCCAAATTAAATAATGGATAGGGTTAGGGTTTGAAAAATTCATAAAAAAATGGAAAATTCATAAAAACAATTTTTACTTTTGACTGCACCCCTCCATATGACACAGATTATATGTACTAAGTTTGAGATGAATCCACTGAATAGTTTAAGAGATATCATGAGGACAAAGTTTTCGGGCAGACGGACAGACGGACGGAACCTTGGTATAACTATATACCCCAGACCTTTTTCAGCATACCACACAGCACCTTCAGCAATTCAGCAGCAGTATAATGGAGAGCAATCCACCGAGGTGTTTGAGAGGCATTTCTTAGAAGTTGACGGATAACAAAGCAGACTAAAAGTTTAGGGATAACAACTATAGCTGTATAATAAAGAAGGTGTTATCCATAAAGTTTTGTCCACTGTAATCCATTGAGATGTTATCAGGCAATATATACATGCATAGATTCAAAGACCGAAGAACAGCACAAAGGCAGCACTTTCTTTATGACTTAAAGATTCAGTGCTAACCAATTGGCTTGGCAAGGTCGATAAAAGATATATATTATTCTGTGCACTTCAATATTTTTAATTTTATAGCCAATACAGGGTTTTATCTTGACTTACGAAAGTAGAGGTCCAGGGTCCCCTAATAATTAATTTTAAGGGTCCTTGCAGGTAATATGAGGGTCCTGTAATGTTATGATATGGTGTAGTGTACTGTACATGTTGATAATTGAAATGAATCAATGATCATGTGAACAGTGGTCATTGTTATTGGATGAAATGACAGATGCCCATAACTGCTCCTGATGCGCTGTAGGTAAAATGAATATTATTATACGTCCTTCGGGATGCAGTAAATTCTTTTTCTGCACCCATTCTTAACATTGGTGTGTTCTAGATGCTCATTTGCTAGCTCAGTGACAGTGACAGGCGGATGCTCTACTACTAGACCACGGTGGCGGTTACATTTTTTAGAGTAACATGTATATGTATTTACTTCTGTCAATAAAGGTTTTATTATTATAAGGCCTTAAATTTGTTTTTTGTTTTTCCATGGTTTACTGATCCGCCAACCCTAAGAATGAAAAGTTCAGATAGAAAGAAAAATCAGAAAGATCAACAACAGAAACAAAAAATCTGACCAAAGGTGATTATTGATAATCAATTATCATTAAATGAATTAACAGTTTTGGTTTGATTTTTGTACTTGCTGTGTGTGACCACAAACAAATAATTCAAACTAATCTCATCATGCTTTGTGACTGAATAGTTATTGGCTCTGGTCATATCCATCAACCCAAATATAAAAGAGTGTGTCCAAATTAATGAGTCTCTCGCACAGCACAATCTCGATTCTCACTGAACAGATAAGTCCGACATCACGAAGGGACTACCCTGCTGCAATGTGTTTAACCCCCACGAAACTGTAGGTGAGATTACCTTTTATACCTTACTGTCCACCTGTGTTATAAATCCCCATAAATCCCCACTGGGAGATCAGGTTTAATATGTATCAGGTATACCATATAATACCGTATTGATCAAGCCTCTCACTATCTGCCATAGAGCCGTCTACATACACAGGTCACATTCTTCAAAGAAAGACTTAACATCAGGAATCTTGTGGATATAGCAATGGGGCATTTGAACAACTAAGTCGGATGTTTCCATCTTGCTTAAGTCATCTTGTTTGAGACATTATGGTAGACATTAAAGGATCAAGTCAGAGTTTGTTTGTTTGTTTGTTTGTTTGTTGTTTAACACAACACTCAGCAATATTCCAGCTAAATGACAGCGGTCAGTAAATAATCAAGTCTGGACCAGACAATCCAGTGACTGACATAATGAGTATCAACCTACGCAGTTGGTGTATGATGACATGCATCAACCTAGTCAGTAGGCCTGACGACCCGATCCCATTAGTCGCCCCTTACGACAAGCGTAGTCGCCTTTTACGGCAAGCATAGGTTGCTGAAGACCTATTCTTACCCAGATCGTCAAGGGTATGTCACAGTAAAAAATATTCCAGCCGTATCATTCCAGACTCTAAATATGCATGTCTAGGTCAGACAACCCAGTGATATTCCAGCTATATGACAGCGGCCTGGAAGAAAACGAGTCTGGACAGATAATCACGACAACATGAGCATCGATCTACGCAACTGGGATACGAAGACATATCAACCCAGTCTCACCACCCAATCCATCCAGTCGCCCCTAATGACATGCACGAATTGCTGAAGACCAATTACAATCTGGGTCTTCACAGGAAATGTTACAGCTGTAATAGTGCTAAGGGTCAGAGTTCCATCTAGGCCATGTCATTGCCCTACTGAAGTGGTGCCAACTGAAACTACCATGAGCATGGCCATACACCACCATCTGAAATGAACTCAACTCCATATGCTGCTTCCACGTCAGGAATTGTGCGCAGAGGTTCTTCGGGAAAGAACACTAGAATTCCATTTAAATTTTTTCTCATCTAATACAAAAGAAAGCCTCACAAACCTCCCTTTATTCTGAACACAGTTGTGTCTAAAAAAGAAAGAGTAAACTCACCATTATTGTCAGGTAAGTCCTTCAATGATTTCTTCACACGTTTCTGCTTCCCATAGTCCTCTCTTCGCCTGTCTAAGCCACCTTCACTATGTTCGCTACCGAAATTATTTGGAAGATTTTCGGTTCTAGTCCTTCCATTTCTCATGGTACCCGTAGGAACTTGTACATTGACGCGTGTCAAACGCGTCCCATCCCATCTCACATCCTGGTAATTCCGTGATGATGGAATGTGATCGTTCAGGAAGCGTAGCTCCGTCTCCCGGATGGCCCGACTGTCCGTCAGTGTAGACTGGACGTCGAGGGATTGAGTGGATGACGCCGTGGAAGACTCCTGGTGGGCAACACTATCCAGATATGTCCCGTCTGTGTTCACTTCACGAAGGTGAAGGTTATGCGAGAAGTCAACTCGCTTCGGACTACCCATCCTTACATCACGGCTGCCATAGTAATCCTGTCGGTATCCATCCCGCGCTCGAGAACGGGACTCCCTGTCTGCTTTCCGTGATCCTACTCTGCCTTGAAGGTCGCCTTCCTCATGATACTTCTCATCTGGAATTAACATGATTTAAAATAATGAAAAGTGAAAAACAAATATTCCAGCCATATGAAGACTACTGGCGAGGTGGCATCAATACATTGAACAGATGACCTACAGAGCTATAGGTCAGGAGAAAGCTCAACAAAAGATGGTTTTGGTTGTTTGTTATTTAACGCCACACTCGGCAATATTCTAGCTATCAGACAGCAGTCTGAAGATAATCAAGTCTGGACCAGATAATTCAGTGATTGACATGAGCATCGATCCACGCAATTGGGATACATTGACATGCATCAACCAAGTCAGCGAGCTTGATCACCCGATCCCATTAGTCTCCTCTTACAACAAGCATAGTCGCCTTTTACGAAGCAACCACTTTCACCACTGAACCACATGGATGGTGTGAAAACACAATGACTCTTAGACAGTGGTCATATGTAACAAATGTTATATTTGGGATGACACTTTTCACAAATTCTTGTACTTTTGGGGGTCGCCAATACTCAGGCCTCATACATCCGCTAATACTCTGGCCTCCTACACACACCAATACTCAGACCGTGTACACCCGCCAATACTCAGGCCTCCTTCACCCGCCAATACTCAGACCGTGTACACCCGCCAATACTCAGGCCTCCTACACCCGCCAATACTCAGACCGCGTACACCCGCCAATACTCAGGCCTCCTACACCCGCCAATACTCAGATCGCGTACCCCCGCCAATTCTCAGGCCTCCTACACCCGCCAATACTCAGGCCTCGTACATCCGGCAATACTTAGGCCTCATACCCCCGCCAATACTCAGGCCTCCTACACACACCAATACTCAGGCCTCCTACACACACCAATACTCAGGCCTCCTACACACACCAATACTCAGGCCTCCTACACACACCAATACTCAGGCCTCCTACACACACCAATACTCAGGCCTCCTACACACACTAATACTCAGACCGCGTACACCCGCCAATACTCAGGCCTCGTACATCCGGCAATACTTAGGCCTCATACCCCCGCCAATACTCAGGCCTCATACACTCGCCAATACTCAGGCCTCATACATCCGCTAATACTCAGGCCTCATACATCCACCAATACTCAGTCCTCATACATCCGCCAATACTCAGGCCTCATACATCCGCTAATACTCAGGCCTCATACACACACCAATACTCAGGGTCGTACACCTGCCAATTCTCAGGCCTCATACACTCGCCAATACTCAGGCCTCATACATCCACTAATACTCAGGCCTCATACACACACCAATACTCAGGCCTCATACATCTGCTAGTACTCAGGCCTCATACACTCGCCAATACTCAGGGTCGTACACCCGCCAATACTCAGGGTCGTACACCCGCCAATACTCAAGGTCGTACACCCGCCAATATTCAGGCCTTGTACACGAGCAAACACTCAGCTCTACATTTCTATCAAACTGGTGACCTCAACAAATACTTTGCAAGAATTACCAGTACAGGTATATAATAAATCAGTCACGCACAATCAGCCATAATCCCTGTATATCGTGTTATTGGCTACAGCCTGCACTGATACTGTGTCTAAAAGGGTTAACAGTCTCAAGCTAGCTTACAATACTCAGCAGTGGAATCCAAATCTTACCCAACGTGGTCTGACAGTAACATAAAACTAACCCAGTCCAGCCCACAGACATTCTCGTAATAACAACAAAAACGCGGGCAATCTGCGACTTAAGCAACTTACCCGAAGCCTTGGTCTGGTAAACTCAGCAATAATTGTTATACATAATGACACAAAAACTACTGACAATGATGCTAGAGCCAAGTTTGCACGAGTGCACTCAAAAATGTTTGGCACGACTACACAGATATCAAAGATTTTCAAATACCAGATAAACAAAAGTTCAGAGCCCTGTTCCACAGAGTTATCTCTGCACTACAATTATCATAAATATAAAGTAACGTCAACACCCGAGAACAATCAGTCACGATTATCTGTCAGAACAGATTCCATTGGGCGTAAAAGGCAAAATAGAGGTGACAATTATGGATCACTGTTTTGTTTTGTTTGTTTGTTGTTTAACACCGCACTCAGCAATATTCCAGCTATATGACGGCGGTCTGTAAATAATCAAGTCTGGACCATACAACTCAGTGATTAACATCGTGAGCATCAATCAATGCAATTAAGATTGATGACATGCATCAACCAAGTCAAAAAACCTGACCACCCGATCCTGTTAGTCGCCTCTTAGGACAAGCATAGTCGCCTTTTATAGCAAGCATGGGTTGCTGAAGACCTATTCTACCTATTCTGGTCCAGGTCTTCACGGGTTTGGATCACTGAAAATCATTGATGACACCAGGTGTTCGTGAATAAGGTTAAGCATGTCCCAACGTAGCACCTGTAACTCACACAATTTGCATAAAACTGTAAGACTTTGTTAGAAACTAACAATTTTTGTCCACTAGTCCTTATAATGATAACATATAGCAAAACCCTTTAAATAGGCCAATTTCTACTAGTCCTTAGGATACCTTTACTATTGGGCAGTTCGGTAAGGACTACAGGACTAGTGCCAATTTCTAACGCTGCGCACAGTACTCCTGCCATCCGAAGGCAGCCTGTACACAATGAAGTCTTTACCAGACAATCAAGTGATTGTTAAAATATTGAAGCAACTGCCAACTTAAAAAAATACACAGCCTGGCACCAAAATCCGAATGTACAACACAAAGTCTTTGAATGATGAAGGTGCAATATTATACCAGTACTCATCAATTCTATAAATGAGCAGTACGGTACTTATTGGATTGAAAAAAATATGTCTGGTACTCGTCAGTTCTGATAATGTTTGGTTTGGTTTGGTTTGTTGTTTAACGCTGCACTCAGCAATATTCCAGCTATATGCCCGCGGTCTGTAAATAATCGAGTCTGGACCAGACAATCCAGTGATTGATATCATGAACATCGATCCACGCAATGGGGATCGATGACATGCATCAACCAAGTCAGCGAGCCTGACCACCCGATCCCGTTAGTTGCCTTTTACGACAAGCATAGTCGCCTTTTACGGCAAGCATGGGTTGTTGACGACCTATTCTACCCCGGATCTTCACAGGACAGATAATGACCAGTACTACTGTACTCATACGATTGTTACATTTTCTGGAGCACTGACATATCCTTTTTACCACATCAGTATTTTATACCTTATACTTAGACTGTGGTACAATCTCACCCTTTCATCTATAAAACGGTACATGTATAACGAGCCTCAATCCCAGTGCTTTACTACCATCTCATTTGCCGATTCCAAACATGGAACCAGATCTGGATCATCGCTTCCAGTCATCATGGATAAAAGACGCAAGGTCTTTATTCATTGGGTATTATCTCCCAACAATGGACATTCCAGCTGGTGAGGTGTATGTGTGAATACCTTCTCTGTCAACACACACAATACGTGGGCAACACACAGGGGGACCTCCACACCATCAACAGCATTCCACACCCTCAACAACACCCAGCGACAACTGCCGTAATGCCAAGTCGGGGAAATATCCTACTATATCCACTTAGGACAATTAACTTGACAAACTCCCCTTTTACAATCAACAAGCTGGTATGAGTCATTCAAGCCACAAATCAAAAGTCTGGAGTTTCAATGTCAACAACGAACATTTCATGAATGTGACTTGAGAATTAGGGTCAGCAGTATTAGGCAGTCTTCCAACGTGGAGGAATGACAAAGCTTTCCACAGACAAGATTCCAAACCCGCAGGATGATATCCCCCATTTACCCCATATGATGATGTAAATGTTTTTTCATGCCATGATAGTCAGCAACAAACCCCAAACAATTGGCAGTGTATGACGCATGCAAACCCATGCAGAGTTCAAAACTCCTTGCATTATACTGCCAGTAGTTAAAAATGTTCTCAGTGCCAGTAGTTAAACTTGTAAGAACAAAGTTAAAAAATGTTCTCAGTGCCAGTAGTTAAAACTGAAATAACAGAGTTAAAAAATGATCTCCGTGCCAGTAGGGCACATTCAATTATATTTCGTATGAGAACAGAAATATCAGACAAATAGAATATACAAGTTTCCACTTATTTAGTTTTAATCATTCCAACATTCATACTCCTATGCATCCAATGGGACTTGTCGTGGATATAATGAGTAAAGGATGCACTATTTTGTTGTAGGTTCAGGTTCTGACTGTGCCAAAAACATTTTAGTCTACCAGTCCAACTCGGCCATAAGCATCATTGCCTGATTTGGTTGTAATTAGACTATGTATTACTGGTTGTAAGGAAGAGAATTTATGGATGTCAACTTCTTTCTTATGAGGAACACAACCTTTCAGAGAATATACTTACTCCTTCATCATAAGCGAATGAATGATATGAGCCAGAGAGCATATATATGTACACGCGAGAACAACAAAAGTAATAAGACAACAAAAGGTGGAAACTCAACAAGGGAAGCCAACAGATAATTAGCGCTGATAGGCGAATTCTCTGTCTTATGTGTATCTCTTCTAAATGCCTTTCAAAGACATGTTATTACTTGTGCTTACTGGACCAAACAGAATTTTACTAGACTTTGGCCTCGGTTTGGTAGCTAACATTGCAGACCTCAGGTTTCCTGTTTTATTTATTGTATTTATGCGAAGGGTACTAAAGAAGAATTATCTAGATTTGTAATTTGTACATGTTTCTTCAAAATCAATCATCTGTAACATTTTAAAATCAATAACCAGGACTATTGCCAAGTGTTAATAGCCAACACCATTGTGGACCACAGTCTTCTATGCCTGACACAGATCGGACTCTTGTGTGCCAGGAGATGTCAGTGAAGCCTGCAGAATGTCCTGAATGAGAGCTATTAAAAGTTCTGTTCTGTCCATACTCTGGTCTCGTCATTCCCCTTCAATAATATCCGGTACAAAGCGCTATGAATAAGTCTCAGTGCATTTAAATCACCAATACATCAACACATTCCAAGTTAGGATATTTACAATGGGTCACTGTTGATTTTCAAGTCAATTTTTATTCAAATATTCCAAATTCAAAGAAATTGGTGCATGAAAAAAGGGCAAGGTGTGACTGAATTGAACACATGGCTATATGAATGAACTGAATGCTACGTGCAAGTGCTTCTTTCAGCTCTGTACGCCGACAACGTCTTATGTCAACACAAGGGGTGGAAATATTATAGCCTGTTAGCTTCATGTTAGTAGGACTCAAGTAGAACACGTTTACAGTTACACGGTAACCATTTAGTGAATTGAACTGGGTCCATGCCACAATAACAGAATGCTGTTACCACTAGGCTACCCACTGCCTCCACTCTGTTCCACAAAGCCGTCTTAGTATTACTATGATCGTAAGTCTGTATTAGAGTATCGAAGATGTTCTAAGAACGCTTTGTGGAACAGGGCTCCGCAGTGGAACCCTTTGAGGTAAATCTCCTCACTGCGCAGAAATTTGGAGATCTTACTGCTCTTGTACTCACCTATTCTGCTGACCTTGCGATGACCACCAGAGGGCGCTGTCTTACTTCGCTGATAGGCAGTGTAGTCATACCTATCACAGCTAGCCTGTAGGGAACAGAAAACACTTGGTCAGCCCAGCAAATAAATGTTTCATTAATCTCATGACAAGAATACTTCTACACAGTCAAACCTTGTTAATCCAGACTACCATTCCCATGGAAATTGTTCAGATAACTTGAGAATGTCATCTGAGTGTCTTTTGATACCAAACATATATAACCAGCATCAGTAGCAGAAAGATTAATGTCATTTGATTGTGACATCATTGTAAATGGCCTGCAAAGCATTGTGATGCAATTTCACTGCAGCGATATATCCTAGGAGAGATCGCTTGATCTCATCCAAGCAACATCTCCTGTGGAAGCCAATTTTGGTTGACAAACCAATTTTTTTATTAAAAAATCATTGGTACATATAAATTTCCTTTTAATTATAGATAAAGGATTTGGAACGCTCTGTTAGCATATGGGCTGGTATAAGCTGATCTTACAACACCAAAAGAAATTTACAAGACTCAGGCTTTAGACTAGTGGCTAAAGTTGCAGAACACTCAATGCGCATGATCTTAAACTTTAGCTTTTTCTTCCTCTTTCTTTTCATAGGATACAAAAAACTCATATTTTTGCATTCTCTCTGTTAAGTGATGGACTTAGTCAACAATTGGTGGCAACAGTCTGGCACCATTGGTCCATTAGTAACTGTAATGTGTGCCATTTGAAACTTCAGAGTAACAATGGCTAATCTAGAATGAACTCTTGATATTTCAAAATCAAAATGGAAGATGCTCAAATAATGCTTGTTTAATGCACTCATGGGTTATCAAGTTCAAATTACAAGTCAGTTTTTAAACTATGGGTTATAATTACTCAACAATGGAGATAGTGCCTTGTCTATGCCCGACGCAACCTGATTCAGTTGGCTGCATTAAATATGGATTAAATGGGCCTTGGCATACAATGGTAATCGTACACACACCACTACCCATGCAACAAGCCATAACCACTTTATGAGATGAAGATTCACTTAAATAATCATCACAGGCAAGGAACTTCTGTGAAATATACTAACAGAGACTTATGGTCAATTACAGTGAATGATCCTGCTCGCAACGACACTCTGTGTCAAACCAGTCAATCAATGGCCACATGACTACAGGTTAAGCATGACCATCAAGCTAATTACTCCTCCGTGCTTCGTTTGTCATCAACAGTGAGCTGGCAAGGGCTAGCATCCAGCAACTACCTGGTCAGAGGGACATCTATAGACATCTGACGTCTGGAAATAGCTCCTTTATAAAGGACCATTGAATGTTAATCTGGATGGACCTGGTCAGAAGGACATCTATAGACATCTGGAAATAGCTCCTTTATAAAGGACCATTGAATGTTAATCTGGATGGACCGGGTCAGAGGGACATCTATAGACATCTGGAAATAACTCCTTTATAAAGGACCATTGAATGTTAATCTGGATGGACCGGGTCAGAGGGACATCTATAGACATCTGGAAATAGCTCCTTTATAAAGGACCATTGAATGTTAATCTGGATGGACCGGGTCAGAGGGACATCTATAGACATCTGGAAATAACTCCTTTATAAAGGACCATTGAATGTTAATCTGGATGGACCTGGTCAGAAGGACATCTAAAGACATCTGGAAATAGCTCCTTTATAAAGGACCATTGAATGTTAATCTGGATGGACCTGGTCAGAAGGACATCTATAGACATCTGGAAATAGCTCCTTTATAAAGGACCATTGAATGTTAATCTGGATGGACCTGGTCAGAAGGACATCTATAGACATCTGGAAATAGCTCCTTTATAAAGGACCATTGAATGTTAATCTGGATGGAACTGGTCAGAGGGACATCTATAGACATCTGGAAATAGCTCCTTTATAAAGGACCATTGAATGTTAATCTGGATGGAACTGGTCAGAGGGACATCTATAGACATCTGGAAATAGCTCCTTTATAAAGGACCATTGAATGTTAATCTGGATGGAACTGGTCAGAGGGACATCTATAGACATCTGGAAATAACTCCTTTATAAAGGACCATTGAATGTTAATCTGGATGGACCTGGTCAGAAGGACATCTATAGACATCTATAGACATCTATAGACATCTGACATCTGGAAATAGCTCCTTTATAAAGGACCATTGAATGTTAATCTGGATGGACCTGGTCAGAAGGACATCTATAGACATCTGGAAATAACTCCTTTATAAAGGACCATTGAATGTTAATCTGGATGTACCTGGTTATAGGGACATCTATAGACATCTGACGTCTGGAAATAGCTCCTTTATAAAGGACCATTGAATGTTAATCTGGATGGACCTGGTCAGAAGGACATCTGACATCTGGAAATAGCTCCTTTATAAAGGACCATTGAATGTTAATCTGGATGGACCAAAGTACTGGTTCACATCATATGATTGTGAGAAGCAGAGGAAAGAATTGAAAGTGTTCTCAAATAACTATTGCCATGAAACAGTTACAAAACATCTCATTGGATAATCAATTTCAGCTTCCTTATTTCAATAAGAGTATGTCACACTGTGAACAAAAACAGAAGTTGCTTCGTCACAAGATACAATTCTTGAAACGACAATTCACAATAGAAATATATAGTGAACGGTGCTTGACATTTTACCAGATGTATATATAGGTCACCTTGGAGAGTCTACTGTAGGCCATGCCCATAGAGGATCTGGTGTTGGAATGAATGGGTAAACTGATGCCATAGCTGAGAGCTGCAACAGCCTACTGGCGATGTGGCATCAATACATTGAACAGATGACCTACAGAGCTATATGTCAGTAGAAGGCTCAATAAAGAAAACATTAAAATATTTCATAATTGTAACAGAAGTATTGGATCATTCACCAATGTGTTGACGCTCAATAACGTTTCCTGTAATGTGATTCTATCACCTTAAGATCATTGCACATATATATAATAATATACATGCATGTGCACATGTATTTGCTTGTACTAGTTTGTACTGATGCTGGTTTTATAGTGCTAGCCTGCTCAAATACCTACCACAGTTTAATATGGATACCGGGTACTCAGACACAGTATACTGACTAAGGGCCTACCAGTCCTTGTGCTACCACCTTAATGTTTAGTTCCAGACAGAGTAACAACAAGTACCATCTTTTAACATCTTTAGGTATGATGTGTCTGGTGATCCAACCACCAACATTACACTAATTCTCTTGAGTTTGTTTGTTTGTTGTTTAACGCCGCCGTCAGCAATATTCCAGCTATATGACGGCGGTCTGTAAATAATCGAGTCTGGACCAGACAATCCAGTGATTGACAACATGAGCATCGATCCACGCAATTGGGATCGATGACATGCATCAATCAAGTCAGCGAGCCTGACCACCCGATCCCGTTAGTCGACAAGCATAGTCACCTTTTGCGGCACGGCATGGGTTGCTGAAGAACTATTTGCTTAGACATATTTGCAGTCCCAACAAGTTGGATTCAAGCTGTTCAAAATTGACTTTATTTGTCTGCTAATACTTGTTGCCTTGAAAAAGAAGCTTCTTTGCTTATCCAGATTTGTTTCAAAAAGATTATTGACTTAATAATGCTAAACAGCACTCTGGCCCAAAGAATGTTGAGTCTACAAGATCAGACTTGACTGTTGGCAGCATTCTTAATTGTTTTTAATGTATTTATATGGACTTATGAGCTGAGTGAGTGAGTGAGTGAGTTGGGTTTAACGCCGCTTTTAACAGTATTCCAGTCATATCCCAGCGTGTCAGCTTAATGTGGGAGGAAAGCCCGAAGTAATGCAGGTCTCAGACGTTTACCACTTCGGTGAAACCCACGAGCACGGGTATGGTGCTGACAAACCTAGAAACATAATCGGGGCGAACCGGGATTCGAACCCACAATCATAGGTTTCTGGCGTGCCCAAGGACCGCACCTCTGCACAGCGAATCGCGGCGCCTTAGACGACTGGGCCACTCGAGCCCCCACTTATGAGCTGAGCTTACTAGACAAAAAGAAATTGCCAGGATCAGGCATCAGACTAGTGGCTCTAAGTCGTAGACTGCAGTAGCTAATGACACACTGCGCCAATACTTGTGTGCCTGAATCTGTTTGTGGTTTAGCGCTGAGGTCAGCGATATTCCAGCTACAAGATAGCGATCTGTAAATAATCGTATCTGGTCCAAACAATTTATATTTGAGCAGTGTGTCATAAGGCTCAAGTAACTGACACAGTATCATGTCTTGTCATGGTACAATGACATGCAATCAAACAAATCTCCCACCTAATCCATTCATTTGCCTCTTATGACCATCATAGGTTTAGGACAAAATTCTATCCCGGAATCCCCATGACGAGTGAGTGAGTTGGGTTTAACTTGGGTTGCTTTGAACAGTATTCGAGTTATATCAGGGTATGTCAGCCTAATGTAGTAGGAAAGCACAGTGATGCAGGTCTCAGATGTCCACTTTGGAGAATCCCACGAACATGAGTATGGTGCTGACAAACCTTTAAACATGCCCAAGAGACATAATTTCAGCACAGCAAATTGCCCCCGTCTCGTGCCTGACGTTTCATTAAGATTTGGGGGTGGGGGGTGGGGGGTGGGGGGTGGGGGGTGGGGGAAGAGAGGAGTAGGAGGAGGAGGTAAAGAACCTGGAGCCCAACAATACAGCAGAGGTAACTATGATCAAACATGAACGATCTTAATGTTTGACTTTGTATTTGCAACTTGTATTTGTCATATTTATTATTTCAATGCGTAAATGAAAGAGGTGAGGTGAAATTGGGTTTAACTTCGCGTCCAAGATTATTGCACTTATATAGCGACGTGCATGTACGTCTGTGTGTCTGTGTGGCTGCTTGTACTAGTCCGGACTCATGCCGATTTATAGTGCTAGCTCACTGAGATACCATGCCGCAGTTTAACATGAATACCCCACTCAGACACAGTATACTGACTCCGAGCCGACCAGTCCTTGTTTAAGCCATTTAATGCCGAGCGCCAGACAGGGTAACAACAAGTAC